CTGGAACAAACAGGTAGATAGAAAGGCAGACAATTATTAAAAAAAATGTGTTTTTCTTATAAGTACCGTATATAATTTCACATGAATTCAGTAATAAGCTTTTATTTTGACATTACAAACAGACACTTCAATTTTATTTATCTGTATAGATTATGGGTGAATTTCGATTACTGGGAGATCGAGTATCTATTACTAGCCGTAATTTTGCATTGCTAGTAGGCGGAATCGGCTAATATTTTAATTCAAACATTAGGTATACTTGTAACTTTATCGAAGTCATTCGTGGCAAGGATATAGAACAGCATTATACAAATTCCTACTGGGAGCTGTTTCATTCGCTTCCGTAATTTTAAGGTATCGTAAAATTTATATGAATTTATTATTATCAATGAACATTTATATGAAATTCTGTTTTACCTTTCATGAAAACTTTAAGCATATCTGTTAAATTGATATATAATCTGCTCGGTACTTTAATTTACTTGTTTGTTTGATTTTGCTTTATGTACGGCTATATAGTGTTTATGTAATAAAAGCTTTGAATCAAAGATTAAATTCACGAAGTTTTACTTGTTTATTTATTTTATGTAAAATTTTTGTGAATATCAAGTGCCTTTATTTAATGTAAGGAATGAACACAACCAATTTTGGTCAAAGCGGCCAATCACACAAGACTAGCCAACTGCGCAGAAGATATAATAGTCCATAAATGTACGCGCAGACACAAGGGCACTCTCTATTCCTGTCACTCCCATACTCTGGTGGGACGACCACTCGACACGACCAGTGAGAGTTAAGGCGCAGGACCGACGGCTTTACGTGCTCTCCGAGGCACGGGGTTGAAACACCGCCAACTTCCCAACTCCGGGCTGTTACTGAGGCTTACTTTACAGAAAGACTCAATAACTAAACTTGGCCCGACCCAGGACTCGAACCCAGGACCTCCGGGTGTGCAGCCGTACATGCCAGCCTCTACACCACCGAGGCAGTTATATATACACACACATATATATATATATATATATATATATATATATATATATATATATATATATATATAATATGTACACATAATAATATATGTATTTAAATATAAGTAGTCTGTGACCTTCGTCAATAATAAGATGTTTTTTAAACGTTTTTTTATAAATAACGTTTTTTTAAAAAGGGATTCATAGTTATAAAGATTTACATACAAACTTCTTTACGTTATAGTATATATATATTATTGATGAAGTTGCTTTAATAGAACTATTAATTTTATCAATATTCTCTTAAAAGCTTTGAATTTAATAGAATAAATCTGTCAATAGCTCCAGTCTTAAGACTTTCAGAGAGATGTAGAGTAAGTTATTGCATATAAGCTTCTAGTAATATCCTTTACGGGGCACGTAGAGGCAATGTAGTGACACTTTCTGTTGAATTTTAGACGTGTACTGTATGGAGGATTTAATAATAAGCTTTTATAAGCTACCAGCGTTAATATAGAAATTTGTATATATATATATATATATATATATATATATATATATATTTATTATAAATATATAAATTAGGATGATGCGATCGAAATTGCGACCTCTAGTATGAAAACAGTGACGCTGCCACTGAGCCACTCCGTCATATCAAATCAATACACCTCAAGACGTATGAGCTGGTTATAAATTCTAAAATACATAAAGCTGTCCTGACCGTAGCACAGAATGAACACTAATAAATAATTCGGATCGGTTGCAAGACGGCAGTTTCTGCTGCACTGCTTCTATAGTATCGTTTAGTTTGACTTACTAATGGCCCAAGTTCTATTTAATGGAATGCTCCATCGATAACTTTATATATATTGGAAAAAAAATTTATACGATTCATATGCTGAAATGCTGTTTTCACCTATATCATTTTTTTCATTAGAAGCTTATTAACTGGAAGGGATTTAAATTACTTTGTTAAAGATAGCAAGATATTTCTAACTTATGAGTAGGAGTAGGTATCCATACTTAGTAATATTGTAAATGTGAAAGTAACTCTTCTGTTACCTTTTCACGCTTAAACTGCTGAACAGATTTCGATAAAATTTGGCAAGGACGTAGACTGCATCCTGCGGAAGGACATAAGCTTTGGATCCCAAGTTACAACGCGAGCGAATCTGTGGCCCAAAACTAGCTTTATAATATTTGGAAGAAAGGAATATCACCTCCAGGTGAATTTCTAAGAAATTAATTAAATTTCTAAGAAATCTATTGTTAACTGACACGCCGGCGTGTACGCGGTCGTGGAGGGAATATTAATATTATGAAATTGAAATAAAATTAAAGCCTAACAACTTCAAATAGCGCTTGATATGAGAAGAAAATTGAAAGAAAAATATAAGATTTTTTTTAAAACTCATAATATGAAAAGTTAGTGTGAAATCGTTTTTATCCCGGAAATCATCCCTTACGGGGGCGAGAATGGGGATGAAAGTTTGTATGGGGAAGCAATCTAGGTACGAACCCGAGCGAAGCGAGGGTGAGTCTCTAGTAATAATATAATACTTGACTGACATTACTGGTAAGCTACCCTCTTAAAATTAGCATGATAGTTTAAAAAAACCGATTGAATTAAATGAGCCTAACTCAAAGCCTTACAAAGGCCTTTGAAGACGTCTAAATACTATCTATCTGCTGACTCTATTATCACACAAGCTTGAAGGATATCAAATTATTATACTATCATATTATATTACATATATTTGTGTATACAAATTTCAAATTATTCTAATCGATACTACAATTATTAGGAGCAAGATAGCTTGGGATTCCAAATTTTATTTATATTCCTTTTTTAACGTCCCACTGCTGGGTACAGATCTTCCTTCCATGCGAGGGGGAACAGGGCTTAGTTTATCATATTCACCATATTCAAGTTGGCTGACTTCATTTGTCTTTTTTAAAACTAGTGAGGTTTAAGGTGAGTGGTAATCATAACAAAAGTGATTTTAGATTTGAACCCACTTCACTTGGTTCCCCAAGCAAGCACAGTACCACTGAGCTACCACTGAATTTCAAAAGTGAAGCTAATAAAATGTGCTAGAAAGTATGCGCTATCACACCATCACTGTTTCCTTGTAGAGAAGATCGTGAAGTTAAAAAAACAAGCCGTTGTTGAACAATTCTAAAACTAGTGCAGTTACATAAAGAACCAAGCCGGTCTAAACTTTTCGCTTCCCTTGTACACTCAAGTATAGAGTATGATGGTGTGAGGTTGGCAGAGATAGATGGTTGAAAATTTTGTCGTACATTTTACAGATTCTCAAAGGAATTTTCACAAATTCTATGACATATAGTTTTGAATTTGATCTTAACGACGACACGTTTGGCTTAGTTTGTAGTGACCATGCTTGCTGTGCCAGCGGTCGCGGGTACGAGTCCCGCTGGGGGTATTCATTTGTTTGATGTTTACATTCCAGTCATGGGTGTTTATATATTTATAATATGTATGTATTTAAAGTTATATAAATGTGTAGTGTATCAATTATCTGGTATTCATAACACAAGTTTCGTACCTTACCATGCAACTAGATGGTGCTGTGTGTTAATGTCCCGACATATTTATCTTATTTATCTTCATCTTAAATGTAAATATAATAGACCAGTTATTGCCAAACGAAGATTTAGTAAATTTGATATTTTCTGAGAATTTTAGTGTCGGCCATAGGCGTGATTAGTAACATTTCTGTACTGTTTACATAAAACTAAGAACAAAATAAGGAAAGCAGTTCATATGAAGCCAAATAATCTATATATATAATGAAATTGGAACTAAGCCGAATCTGTACATTAAATATTTTTTGGAAAATCTTATTGAAATAGACATTATTATCGATACAGAGACCGAATCTACAGTTTTTAGAATTTTTGTCTGACTGTCTGTTACCGCATCACGGAAAATCCACTGGAGGGATTTTGATTTAATTTGGTATGATTATAGATGGTTATTCGGGCCAACATTTAGGATACTTTTTACAGGGGGAAAATATCTCATCTCTGAGAAATCGATACTAAACGTTAAAACGTAAGTAGGGACGAACCCGAGCGAAGCAAGGGTGAGTCGCTAGTATTCATAATAAATTTTTCATTTCATAATGCAGTCTCAAATTTGTTGCTTAGAATGCGCACTAAATTCAGGCTGAAAGTTAAGTGAAATTACATCCGCTTTTAGCGCTACTATAATTTATTTCTGTTGGTTAGTAAAATTATTTATGGCTGCAATACATACTGATCTGCGCTTCGGTTTAATTTTTGTGGTCTCCAAAATATTCATTGTCTCCATATTCACAACAATGGACCACCACGTGCATAATATTATCTTTTTCGATAAAAATATATGTGTATTTATGTAAATTAACATATTACGTAATACATATCTATATAATAAGTATATATGTATTACATAATATGTTAATTTACATAATTACAAACACTATAATACTCTATAATATATAAAAAAAGTCGAATTAGCTACATTTATAACTCAAGAACGGCTGGACCGATTTTTATGATCTTTAATTTGTTGGATTTATCTGTCTCGAATAGTAGAATAACTATTAAAACATCGGAAAATTCAGGAAAAATTGATTTAAATTTACATGGCTGTCGCTAGCTATTTAAGTATATCTATTTAAAACGCACCTAGGGACGAACCTGAGGGAAGTGAGGGTGAGTCGCTAATATATAAAATTTACACAGTTACGTTATATATTTTTATACAAGAAACAATAAGTGCTTTATACTATTAGTAAAAGTCTATATCCAGAGCCTTTACCAGACCTATATCGGATCGAGAACAGACTTTGATCTGTACTATAGTGTGGATCGACCCTAATAAATTAACTGTTAGTAAAAAATAATACTATATTACTAACCAAAATGTATTGTTACAGATTTAAGTGAAGTATAAAGCGAGCTATTTCAATGAAGTTCCCATATGGCTATACAAAATAAAAATTACAAGAGCACATCAAAATGGTTATTGAAGAAGCAGATGAAGTTAATATTAATAAATATGAATCTAATGATACAAATAACATACTTAAAGAGAAGATAACAGTCAGTAAGACTATAAAAGTAAAGCGATCAAGAAGATTTATGGTAAATTCAAGAACAACAAGTAGAAATGCAAATACATTGTTTCTTTTGTTGAGGATAGTTGAAAATTTTGTGGTTTTTATAAAACAATGGATGTTTTTGTTTCTACTCGTTAATAGCGTTAGTGGATTCACTCAGCAGAAGTTTGCAATTGAGCCGCAAGACCAGGTGAGATAATTCTTTTGTTCAATACTTCTTTCTGTACATATAATAAAATTCTAACAGATACGAATCTGTACATTAAATATTTTTTGGAAAATCTTATCGAAATAGTTATTATTATCGATACTGAGGCCAATCTATAGTTTTTACAATTTTTGTCTGTCTGTCTGGGAACGCATCGCGAGACAACATCGCTGGACCAATTTTGAAGAGGTGTGATGATTGCTGGTTAACCGGACCAGCATATACTTTTTACTGCGGAAAAATATCTCATCTCTGAGAAATCTATACTCGACGTTAAAACGTAACTATAAGTTTCTAGTATGTAGTTGTTTATTATGTACATAATATGTATGTATGTACTTTTAAATAGTTCCTTATTACAAAATATTTTATATTTACAAAGTATAATACTTTCTTAGATTTACGCGAATATTTGATTTTTGGTTCCCACCAATCAAAATAGATCCGCGAAATAATCCGAAAAGATAGTTTTATTTAAAAATTTACAAAGTATATAATAAAAAATTGTGTTAAAATCGAAAAAAATATATGTGTTTGTTTGTTACTGCTTCACGTTGGAACGTTTGAAAGGACTTAGTACACAAATAGATTGTGGCCTGGAGTAACACAATAGGCTAATATTAGGCACCTAGGGACGCACCCGAGCGAGGGTGAGTCGCTAGTTTCATATATTTGAGAATACAATTGAGATTTATTGGTAAAAATTGAAAATTTAACATTTTACTTATACAAAAATAATATATAACTGTATAATATTGTAATTTTTTCAACGTTGACCATTATTTTCATTAGCAGTTGATGTTATTCTGTTATTCAAAATATATCTCCATATAAGCAAATATTTTGTATAGTTAATTAATATCACTATAATTAATCGTTTTAATGCACGTGCATTAAATAGAATAAACGAGAACACTTAACGATGTTTTAAGACACATAATTTCACATCTATCTGTGCAGGTGTTTTGATCGTATTTTACAAAACCATTCAATCTAAAATATTTCCATATGAAAATGATTTTTTTTAGATTGAGTAAATTTTATAGTAGTTGAACGTATTTTAAACTAGCTTTTGCTACTTCACTAACTTATTTGTAGGAAAAAATAGAAAGCTTTTTAAGCTAAAACTTATTCATATTGTATAAAACATACTTTACAGTCTTTAAAAATAAGTCATAGAACCGTAGATATTTTAACGTTCTTTCTACGAGTATTTTAACGATATCGTAAAAATGTGTTATTATGATAGTATATTACATATTAATCTGGTGGTACTGAGGTATTGTTTGTCATTGAAACTTCACAAACGAACAGTTAAAGTTATAACTTTAACTGTATAAATATATTTTTTTTATATTTCGCGTAACTTAGAAATGATTAAACAAAATTTAATGAGACTTTTACTAGGGTCTACTTTTAAAAGTAATAGAATAATATATTTGAGTGATTTTTGTGTATATAACGCAATATCTTGTGTATTTAACGCAATTTCATTCAAAAAGGACATTTTTGCCTACGTCTAAACAAAATTCATACAATGTTCTCTCCTAGCCGATTCCGGCTACGGCGACCAATCTCATTAAGACTAGCCAACTGCGCAGGAGATATTATAGTGGGAGTGCACTCTCTGTTCCTGTCACTCTCATGCTCCAGTGGGACGACTGTTCGACACGACCAGTGATAGTTAAGGCGCAGGACGGACTTACGTGCTCTCCGAGGCACGGGGATGAAACACCGCCAACTTCCCAACTCTGGGCTATTACTGAGACTTACTATACAGAAGGACTCAATAACTAAACTCGGCCCGACCCGGGACTCGAACCCAGGACCTCCGAGTTTGCAGCCGTATATGCTAGCCACTACACCACCGAGGCAGTGTTCATACAATAAATACTTCTTTAAAGTTATATGATTGTTACAACCGAATTTAATGTTAAGAAAACCTTCCGAAATTCTTGAGGAAAGGAATTTTTAATAACCACTGATGGTTCCAATACAACCTACTTACTTTAACTTGCTCTGTTTACATAAAATGTAAGGATCTGTACATAATTCACTAATGTTTCGAAATTCGACCTTATTATGGTCGAATTTCTTTCATTATTGAAAATTTTAGGAGAACATATGTGTATAGAATTTACCTATATATATATATATATATATATATATATATATATGTATATGTATATATAAAAAAATATAAAAACTTTTTTTTAATACACTCAAAAGTTTGTCAATAAAATCGGTAGACTAACAGAGGAAAAAAGATACTGTTTTGTCTTAGCCTATTTTATATATACATAATATGATATGGACGAAATAGGTAATTTGCTGAGTATCGTTTACTAAAACGATTCAAGATAGCTTGATTGGCTTTGCTTCCTTTATCAAAGCTCACAGATTCGGTTTTTGGACATAGTACATAATGATATTGATGTGTGCTTTTTGATCGGCATTTTGTTAGATGATATTATAATGCGGAGTAAATCACTTTGTTATGTTATTTTGTATATAATCTATGTATCATATTATAATGTTAAAAAATATAAATTAAAAAGAAAAAAAAATAAGCTGCATAATAATGCTATATCGGAAAAAGGTTGAGTGGTTGCAAAATTTTTAATGAATTTCGTTATAAATCTATTGAATATAAAAAATATCTTAATATATAAATACATATAAAAAATTTAATATATATATAACTATAAATAACCTTTTTCTTCTCTAAGTACAGCGTTTTTTTACTAATTAATTATAACAAAATACACACAAAGACAGTAGAGCATCGGTTAACATTCAATATCGTAGGTCATATGTTACATACTGCGATCAATTTCCATTAGTAATTGACTTAAATATCTTGAATAATACGAAGTCAATAAATTATTATGTATAACTCAAACTTTACGGTAAGCTATTGCAACTTAAATGCGCTTGTGATTGTTATGAATAACCAAAATGCAAATATTGTATATTTCTTTCTAACTAAATATGACACTAGCGACTCACGCTCGCTTCGCTCGGGTTCGTCCCTAGCTTGATTTCCCGTACAAACTATCATCCCCATTTTCACCCCCTTATGGGATGATTTCCGGGATAAAAAGTATTCTATGTCCTTCCCAGGGTCTCAAACTATCTTATTACCAAACATCTAAACCGGTTTAGTAGATCCAGAGATTACCCCCTACAACGTCACAAACTCACAATTCACAAACTCACATCTTTACCTCTTTATAATATTAGTATAGATACTATGGCTAATATATGTATTTTTTTTTAATTTTATTACACAAAATTTAAAACAATGTACACAATGTGGCTTTAACACAAACTAGTGTTCTCTAATCAAACTTTAGGTCATTCGGAAATGCCACAAATATATTCTTAGATTTTTAAAATTGTATACTAAAGTAACCCTAATTAGATTTTTTTTAATATTTTAAGATAGGTGCTCCGGGAACAATCCTCCTTTTTCCGAATTATTGCATAATTTTGTGGGTAAAAGCAGCTTAAAATAACTAACTTTTGAGACGCCAAAAACTTTAGTCTCTCCCGTGACCATGTTCTGTCTTATTTGAATCGCAACGTACAATTTTTTTTTAAATTATATTTTTAATGTTTTTTTTTTCATTTATTAGAAATACAGATAGATTCTTTTAAACAACATTATTTATCAAGTAAGAATGAAATATTTTCCGCATACCGTTTCTTATTACTTACCTTTAGGTACAATCTTTGATAGACGATTTTATGTAAAAAATCAGAAATGTATGTTATTGAGAGTACTATCTTATAGAATAAAGGGAATGTTATCTGTAGTGCAACATTTTTTAAAAACAAATATTCGCCTCTTGCGATAATCGAACCTCGAATCTCTGGTGTAGACTAAAATGCAAATAATATTCTATATAACGAGTGTCGGCCAATGTAATTGCTATACAAAACCTAACGAGTATTAACTCGTTTCATTTATACATTAGCGGGTACATTATAGCGATTTTATTTCCGTAAGCCGATAATTATTTAGGTGTTTTATTTTAATGGCTACGATTTATAATTCTTATCGCAGTAAACTGATATCCGACTATTGTTATGTATACGAAGGTTTGTGCGTGCGTGAGCGGGTGTGTGCGTGAGCATGTGTGTGCGTGAGCGTGTGTGTGTGTGAGCGTGTGTGTGCGTGAGCGTGTGTGTGTGTGTGCGTGCTTGAGAGTATGTGTGCGTGCGTGTGTGCGTGCGTTGAAACTTTACTCCTTAATGTTGAAGCGGCTGGAAGATTTAATTGAAATTTAGTAAATATACAATACACAATGTATTGTTAGTAACAAAATAGTAACTGAACAGATCAGTCAGTGTCATGGTTTGTTAACTAGCTATATTGATGGAAGAAGCTTAAATCTTTAATATTAGCATTTCTGAGTGCGCCTCTGGAGTATCCAAGTTATTTAAATTTTAAACGCAGGGGACTAAGCCAAGATTATTTTCTACAACCGTTATCTCTTATACAAAACTAAAAAATGTATATAATAACTAGCGTAAAACAAAAACAAATTGGGAATAAAAACATTATTTGGAGAACTTAAATTAGTTTTACCTATGTACTTATGAAGAAAATAATCAATATCACCTAACAAAATATTTAACGACTTAGTATTAGATATAGATAGGTATAGATATACATACTTTTACTTTGTAACTTCACAAGTACAGTGTAAGTATTTCGTACAGATTTTTTAGATTCAAGTACTAAAAAACTAAATGCACATTGTTGTCTAGATGTTGAGATACCATTACACTATAACAATTTCACTTAAAACCATAGAGACGTAGTATAATGATACTATAATAATTTTGTGTAAAAATCTTAATGTATGACGTCATTGTGCATAGGACTTTACGAGAGAGGTTTAATAGGGTTGGAGAGTTTGATTTATGAAATGGAATTCCCTAAATTAATATTCTGAGGTCCGCAACTTTGATTTTTGGTTGCTCCTGAGGGATCCTGATTTATTTATTAGAAGGGACCCTTTTGATTTAGAGTGGCTAATTGTGACGGTTGGAATTTTCCGAATAAAATACTAGATATATAAGTAAATATAATAAGACGTAAACGTAAAATTAGTATGTTTGTATGTAATGGAAAAACTGCTTTTAGAAAGTTCGACCATCTCTAATAAATATAGGTTTTGGTCGATATTTCACACGAGCGAAACCGTTATTAAATACATTTTAAAATTAAATAATATTGATTAAATAATTTTCATATGACCTAGTGTTGAAATGATGAAAGATTATTTTGACAATAACTTCTTCTTACAGAGTGCTGTAGTAGGTTCAAGAGTGACTCTACCATGTCGTGTGGTAAATAAAGCTGGACAACTGCAGTGGACCAAGGATGACTTCGGCCTTGGAACTCATCGGCATTTGACTGGCTACGAAAGATATAAGATGATAGGAAGCGATGAAGAAGGTAATATTAATAATAATAATATTTCATTTTATTATTTTATTTATTATAATAACTAGTGTTCGCCCAGTATTTTTTAATCATAGCACAAAAGCTCGTCAATAGCTACTAAACAAAAAAATCGTTTGATAAGCCGAGGGGAAAAAGGTACTGAACTCTTTTGTGTTTGTCTATTTATGTAATACTAGCAGAACACTCAAAATTTAGATTTCATACACACTTTCATCCCCTATTTTACCTCCTTATGGGATGAATTTCAAAAAATGCTAAAACACGTATTTATTGTATTGAATAGCATTAATACCAAGTTTCAAGTCATTTTGATCATAAACCTTTTTTTGGGTTGTATTATAACGTGTTATCCCATGGGAAGAAGATCATCTTCCGCGATAAAAAGTAGCCTATGTCACTCTGCAGCCCTCCAACTATTTCCACACATAAAATCACGCCAATCCGTCTCACCGTTTCGACGTGAAAGAAGGACAAACAAACAAACTCACTTTCACATTTATAATATTAATATGGATATAGATGTATATGTAGATACAACTGCAAAAGGTCACTCTTTCAGTGACTTACAAAGCTGACATTTATAAACTGTCTTATACATCAGCTAAGATAATAGTGATGATGCTAAAACATACTCGTAAATACGAGGTATTTTGGTAACATATAAATCACTACGCGAACGGAGTCGCGGGCAACACCTATTATTGTTATTTTCAAACATAAAATAATTTAATTAAACAATTATCTTTTGATATATGGGAGGTACCTACTCAAATCGGGTTTACATATATTTTTTGTTTGTCATACATTACTCGATTTTAATTACTCTTTCTTTTACTTTAATAACTTCATATGACTTCAAGAATAGAATCCACCCCTGAAAAAATAATTGCATTTGAAGTCATTTTGAAGTCAGTGTACCTTTTAAAGAGATATACCTAGAAAGTTTATAATTGTTATTACAGTAGATTATTATCTAATTTGTTTCAGGAGATTATTCATTGGACATTAGAGATGTGGCTTTGGAAGATGACGCGTTATATCAGTGCCAAGTTAGCACAGGACCTAGAGGTAAGTGATTAGACCTAGACAGACAGATAGAAAAATCGATTAGCATAGTAAAAACACCACACAACCACCGAAATTTTGTAAAAAATATAATATTTACGTATTTATCAAATAGAAAAAGCAATTCTTATGATAGTATAATTTATAGCAAAATATAACAGAGTGAGATGTGATTTTGTTTTTTGTTGATGAAGTTTAGGATTTGGTTAAAAAAAAGTTGATCTCTAAAACTAAAATAAAACCGTAAAAGGTCCGAAAATGCATTAAGAAGTATGTAAGAAGTATTAAGTATGATGTAATGTTTAGGAATTTTTATTTTAAACAAAAACTAGTGAATTAACTTGGCTCTGCTTGGGTGCAACCCTATATGTTTTTAACATTCATAATATTACGGAAGCCCTTTAAAAGGAGCGATTTTTCAGCAAAATATCCACAAATTATAGCCCTCCTACATAATCCCTAACTTCTAAGTTTAACCCGAACAAAGAAACACCCAGCGAGGGGAGACTTTACTTGTATCTCTCCCTATATCATCTATTTCCAAATTTTTTGCATAAATATGTAGATACATCGATTGTAATTAAGGAATTGAGCTTATGTATATAGTAAGCCCAATTTTAATTTACCCATAAAAGAATTACGTGATGGTTCATTCCGCTTGAAATATGACAAATCGGACCTGCGTCATGTCCACTTTGTTTGCGAAGGGTTATTTTTAAAATGTTAATTGTTTAGTTTATTTAGGACCGTATTTAGTGTACACGTGTCCGGTAATCAATTTGGAGACTCTTTCTATATGCACTGTCTGGGTGGTGTAGCATGTACGGCTACATTTCAGAGGTTCTGGATTCGAGTCCCGGGTCAGGACAACTTTAGTTATTAAGTCTTTCTGTTTAGTAAGCCTCAGTGAGATCTCGGAATTGGAAATTGGCAGTATTCACCCTTGTGCCTCGGAGAGTAGGTAAAGTCGTCGGTCCTGCGCTTTAACTCTCATTGGTCGTGTCGAGTAGTCGTACTACTGGAGTATGAGAGTGACAGGAATAGAGAATAGACTTCTTAGATAAGTTCTTTATCTGTAAGCGATATCGTAAATAAACAACCAACATATATTTAGATATGTAGACGTCTTTGTGCAATGACCAATTTTGACGAAATTATATATTCTTCAATTATAGTCTCAAACCCATTTCAGCAATTTCATCTAAAACTGTTCAGAAGTTTTAGCGTAAAGGAGTAACAAATATACACACATACATATTTATAAAAGTAGTACAATATCTTTGAATAAATAAATATTTATCTTTGTGAGTTTGAGTTTAATGAGCTAGAACTAGCATTAAAATCTAGAGCAAAACTAAAAGAAAATGTATGATTCACAATAAACGAGTACTAAACAGTTAAGAAGCCGTAGTGTCCATTAAGGCGAAACCTTACCAACGTAATAATATGACAAAAGGGAATCACAGTATCGCCTCAGATGTGATAGCGTCTCTTTGGAGTCGTTATCATTCTGAATTATTCAGAAGTCACTCGATAGGATCTAAAATAAAACTAGATGTGAACTGTATTTTTTCTATTAGATTTTTTTAAAGTTTTCGAATAAATTTACTTATTAAAAGACTAGCAGAACCAGCGGCTTCGCTCGCGCTAAAACTACAAAAAAACTCTAAAAAGTGAGTTTCTTAAAAGCTTTCATTTCATATTTTACCTTCTTAGGGGTTGAACTTTATAAAACGCTGAAATACTTAACTCATTATTTCAATTCGTACGAAATTTCATACAAATATGTCCAAGGAATAAAAAGTTTCATACAAAATTTTATCCCCTATTTCTCCCCCTTGGGGGTTGAATTTTTAAAAATTCTTCCTTAGTGGATGCTTTTGTTATATAAAGAATACGTGTGCGAAATTTCAAGTTTCTAGCCTTAAGGGTTTGTCCTGTGCGTTGATACATCAGTCAATCACTTTTGCCTTTTATATAAATAGATAATATTCATAAAAGAGAATGTAAAATACAGGAAGGCATTAGTTTAAATGCTTGTTTGAAATATAGTCATCAAGCTTGGGTTTCATTTTTTAGTCTATTTATAATGAAATAACTATATTTGGTTTAGGCTAAAATGAAATCTAACCTACGTTTTAATTAATTTTATCTGTATTTTTTGAAGATTTTCTTTACTGCTTCCTTGATAATAGGATGTGGTAACCATGAAAATAATTCGGATGTGAGGCCCATAGATGTGCGGCCCGAGGTTTGAGCCCGCTACACTTGGTTTTCCAAGCGAATACGTTACCACTGTGCTACTTCTGTTTTGAAAATGAACTATAAAATATATTATAAACTAGCGACTTACCTCACTTTCCTGAAGTCCCGTCAAAATCATTCCAGCCGTTTTGGAGATTAGGTGAAACAAATAGACAGACAGACGATAGAAACACAAAAATTTTAAAAATTGCGTTTTTCTTATAAGTACCTACCGTATAAATTTTAATGTGTTCTTAGTAAAAAGATGTTAGTTTGATAGTACAAACAGACACTTCAAATTTATTTATCTGTATAGATTAATTTTTATTTTTATATTATCACAATAGTGAGTTACAACGTACGTACGTACGTATCAATGTAGTTAAATAACAAATTCGATATTCATTAGGCTATTATATAGGCTCTTCCAGCGTTATCTAGCTTCAAATGTCGCGCGTACTTTCCCGACCATGTTTTTCATCTTACCTCCCAAATTACTCTGATAAGAACTTTTCTCGCCTCTAGCCATAATTTTATTGTTAACTTTAATCCAAGGACATAAAGTCTAATTTACCTTGACTCGAATTTTCGATTGAGGAAACAATCTCGTAACCATAAAGTTTGGAATGACAAAGAGGGTATTTATATTTAAAAACGTAAAAAGATTTCAGCCTGTTTTGAGTGAAGGCATTAATAATGACTGAAGGTGTAATGGGTTTAATATTGTACTGATTTTTGCATTAAATAATTTATATAAATAACTAGCGACTCACCCTCGCTTCGCTCGGGCTTACGGCTTGCTTCTCAATACAAACTTTCATCCCCATTTTTACCCCTTTAAGGGATGACTTCCGGGATATAAAGTATCCTATGTCCTTTCCAGGGTGTCAAACTATCTTCTCACCACATTTATCGCAGTATAACCAAACAAAAAAATCGGCTCTCCATTTACTAGTATAGATATAAATTAGACTAAAATAATACTATTACGGGCCTACCTTCGTATTGAAGGGAGGCCAGTGCCCAGCAGTGGGACGTTAAAAAAGGCTGACTACAGTACAAGTAGCTTGTTGTACGATGCTTAATCGAATCTTATAATATTAAATGAGCAATTCTTGTTTATATATAAATTTATTTATAAGAAACGGCTCTATCGATTTGGATCATTTTTTTAGATAACGTTTTGTTCTTTGCTAGCTTTTCTGAAAAAAACACTCATTTTTTATCTTTTCCGTAAAATCACGGTTTTACAAAAAAAAAAACGCCGTGCAAAGCTTTATCACCCTGGTACATTTTTTTTAACATTTTCTATGTCTGTCTGTTTTGCCACGGTTTATTCTTGTAATGGATTTAGAATTTTGGACAGATTTTATAAAATAACAGATAAAATTAAGCTAGTCATCGTTTACTAATTCAGAAAAGAAAAAAAATCACAAAAATAACGTCACGGGTCATTGTAACAATTGACATAATTTTAATTCTAAAAATTCTTATCGAAATAGTGTTAAGTTTCTATTTAACCATAATGAGAGAGAGTGTGACCATAGCGATAATTACTTTATTTAGAAATGTACTATCATTATAAGCTACTTGTTGTTGTTGTTTTAACTGTTAGTATGGAATAGATAGACTATGACATATAGTCTACGTCTGTGAGCCTTCCTAAATAAACGGGCGATCTAATGCAAGAAGAATTTTTCAAATCGAATTAGTAGTTCCTGAGCTTAGCGCGTTCAATTAAACAAACAAACAAACAAACTCTGCCTCTGTATAATATTAGTATAGATTTTAGTTACCTTCATATAAAGTTCGAAAGAAATTTCATAACTTTTGAATTACATTTCAGTCGTAACTTATGTATTCTATTTTTAATAATAATCAAAATTACAATTAAAAATGCGTGAAATTATTATTATTGGTTAACACGGTCTGACTTTTTTTACAACATGCCAATATCTCACTATAAATACAAGAAACATCAACGTGTATACAATAGTTGTACAAACAAACATACATACATATTTTTTAGTATAATTAGTATGTAAGTGTATTATAGAAGTGCGGCATTGGTAGCCCTGTGGAATCGCGCTCTCTTGGAAAATCGAATGAAGCCCGTTCAAATCCCGGGTCTCGCACGTTTTATTTTCATTTGCGAATCATTTTCAACATGATTATCACGTTGTCTTACGACGAAGGAAAATATCGCGAGGAAACCTGTAAGTCCGAGAGAACTTAACGAGTTTTCGAAAGAAATGTTAAGTCCGCCAACCCGCATTTGGTCAGCGTGGTGGACTACGGCCTAATCCCCCCTAAATTACTGGGGAGGCCCGAGCCCAGTAGTGGGAATGGAAAAGGAGGAAAAGAAGGAAAAGAAGGAAAGAAAAAGGGCTAAATTTAAATAGTATGTAAAGATAAATATAATAAAAAAGTTCAACAAATACATTTTATGTTCAAATATAATATGTAAAGTCGCACCCATAATTTTGATAAAGAATATTTAACTAGTTAACCAGTTTTCTATAAACAAAGTTTTAACGTTCAAAACTAACTAAATTATAAATACTGTGGCTCCCAAAGAAAACTTTAAAAATGGTTGTTTCGGTTTAACCGCAAAATAGTTGTCCAAAGTTAAAACAAAATAATATTAAACGCATAAATTCAAGCAGTTTAAAGCCAACAAGAGGCAAAATTGTAGAATTTGTTGGTAACTGGAAAGTCTGCTATCAAAAAATTATGAAGCGAAAAGTACTAGAATGGCG